GTGCTTGCGGGTCTCCCACCCCGGTGCGCGTGTGCGTGCGCGCGCACACGCCCAGTTCTGGTGGATTCTGAAGTTGTCCTTTCTGCCTTACACTGGAGGGGAAGGAACAGAACAAATACAGCCACCGTCCCCTCTTGCCGGTCAGTGGAGCACGCCGCGCCGTGGACTCTGCGGCTCTGCCCGCCTTTCCTTCCCGGGTGGCCGGAGTGCCTGCCTTCTGCCGGTTTGTGTCCATTCAGACTGCTTGGTCGTCATTCCCACAGAGCCCCCTGCTCAAGCCCTGCCTGTGTCTGCTCTGCCTCCTGTTCCCTTGCCAGGTGTGTGCCCACTGGCGTGTTGCCTCCACCCTTCCCTGAGCGTGGTTCTGGCACCTTCCTGCCTGTGGATGTGCTGCTCCCGCACTTGCTAAGCAGGTGCAAAGCTGCTGAAGACGCCGCAGGTCTTCTCTCCTTTCCCAGTCCCCCCTTCTGCACGTGCTCTACACATGACAGGCGTGTAAATTGTAAAGGCAGTTCTCTACTGTTGTGTGGTTTGATTGATTGGTTTATTTTTTTGTGCCCCTAGCGGGAACCGAACCTGGGACTCTCTGGTCCACAGGCCAATGCTCCAACCGCTGAGCCAAACCAGCCAGGGCCTGTTGTGTGATTTTAGATGGTTGCTGCTGTTGTGGGAATGCCAAGTCCTAGCCAGAGAAGTTAGGGGGCCTGTTCAGTACCCCAGGAACATCTAGTTCATTCTTCTGAATATATATATATATATATATATATATATATATATATATGTATATATATAGCGCCAACTTTGTAATGAACACTAGGAATGGAATCCTTAAAAAAATATTTAATTTTTCAATTACAGTTTATAGTGTTATTTTGTATTAGTTTCAGGTGTATAGCATAGTGGTTGGACAGTTATATCCCTTACAAAATGTTCCCCCACCCTGATATTTCCAGTACCTACCTGGCACACAATACATAGTTATCACAATGTTATTGACTATATTCCGTATTACATCACCTTGGTTATTGTGTAGCTACCAATTTGTACGTCTTAATCCCTTCACTTTTCATTCATTCCCCCATCTCCCATCCCTCTGGCAGACGGGTCTGCTCTCTGTGTCTATGAGTCTATTTCTGTTTCATTTATCTTGTTCTTTAGATTCCGCATATAAGTGATCATATGATAGTTACTTTCTCTCTCTGACTTATTTCACTTAGCATGATACCCACTAGGCCCATTCGGGGTATTGCAAATGGTAAGATTTCATTCTTTTTTTTTTTATCCTCACCCGAGGACATTTTTGCATTTATCTTCAGATAGAGTAGGAGGGAGAGAGGGCGGGAGAGAGAGAAAATCGATGTGAGAGGGACACATTAAGTGGTTGCCACACATACGACCCCAAACGGGGCTGGGGACAAACTGCAACCGAGGCGCATGCCCTTAATGGGAACCGAACCCAGGACCCTCCGCTCTGTGGGCCGACGCTCTAACTGCTGAGCCAAACCGACCAGGGCAAGATTTCCTTCTTTTTTATGGCCGAGTAATATATTCCACTGTATATACGCACCACAGCTTTTTACCCATTCATCTGTTGATGGCATTTGGATTGCTTCTCTAATCTTGGCTGTTGTAAATAACACTGCAGTGAACATAGGGGTGCATCTGTTCTTTCGAATCAGTGTTTCGGGTTTCTTTGGATATATTCCCAGAAGTGGAATTGCTGGGTCATAAGCAGTTCCATTTTTAATTTTTCAAGGACCCTCCATACTGTTTTCTGTTGTGGCTGCACCAGTCTGCATTCCCACCAGCAGTGCTCAAAGTCTCCCTTTCTCCACACCCTCACCAACACTTGTGGGTTTACTGATGAAGCCATTCTGACGGCTGTGATAGCTTGTGGTTTGACTTCGCGTTTTCCTGGTTCGCAGTGCTGAGCGTCCTCTCATGTCTATTGACCCTTTGACGTCTTCTCCGGAGAAGTGTCTGTCCAAGTCCTTGGCTCATTTTTTAATTGGATTGTTTGTTTTTTTGGTGTTGACTTGTATGAGTTCTTTATAAATTTCGGATATTAACGCCTTCTGGGGTGTATCATTGGTGAATGTATCATTATACATCCCATTCAGTAGTTTTTTCTGTTTTGTTGATGATTTCCTTTGCTGTGCAAAAACTTTTTAGATTGGTGTAGTCCCATTTGTTTATTTTTCCTTTTGTTTCCCATGCCTGAGGAGAGGTATCAGAAAAAATATTGCTAACAGGAATGGCAGAGGGTTTACTGCCTACGTTTTCTTCTAGGGCTTTTATGGTTTTGGGTCTTACATTTAAGTCTTCAACCCTTTTTGAGTTTATTCTTGTATATGGTATAAGAATGTGGTCTAGTTTAATTTTTTTGCATGTATCTGTCCAATTTTTCTAGCACCACTTAGTGAATAGACTGTCTTTACTCCATTGTATATTCTTGCCTCCTTTGTCATAGATTAATTGACCATATAGGTGTGGGTTTATTTGGAGGGGGGGATCTCCACTATTCCATTGATCCACATGTCTGTTTTTATGCCAATACCATGCCGTTTTGATTACTGTAGCTTTGTAGTATAGTTTGATATCAGGTAGCATGATACCTCTGACTTTGTTCTTCTTTCTTATGATTTCTGTGACTATTTGTGGTATTCTGTGGTTCCATAGAAATTTTTGAAATATTTGTTCTAGTTTGTGAAATACAGTCTTGATATTTTGATAGGAATTGCACTGAACCTATAGATTGCTTTGGGTAGTATGGATATTTTAATAATGATGATTCTTTCTATCCATGAGCACAACATATGCTTCCATTTATTTGTCTTCATTTTCTTTCTTTAGTGTCTTAGGATGTTCCAAGTGGAGGTCTTTTATCTCCTTGGTTAAATTTATTCCTTGGTATTTTTTTTTAAATGCAATTTTAACTAGAATTATTTTTTTAGTTTCCTTTTCTTATAGTTCATTATTGGTATATAAATTTGCAACCAACTTCTGAATGTTTATTTTGTATCCTGCTATTTTACTGATTTTTTTTAGTGGAATCTTTAGGGTTCTCTCTATGTACTATTGGGGCATCTGCAAATAATAACAGTTTTACTTATTCCTTTCCAATTTGGATGCCTTTTTTATTCTTCTTGTCTGATTGCTGTGGCGAGGACTTCCAGTACTATGTTGCGTAAGCGTGATGAAAATGGACATTCCTCTCTTGTTCCTGATTTTTGGTTTTTCCCAGCTGAATATGATGTTAGCTGCGGCTTTGACATCTGTGGCCTTTATTATGTTCAAGTGTGTTCACTCTCCTAGGAGAGGAATTCTTAATCCAGTACATTTATTCTTTTATTCAATGTTTTTAAAGGAGCATCTATGTACTGTAGTAGACTAGACAGATACCAGGGACTATTCAAAATAGAAAAGTAATACAGGGTTCATGGTACAAAGTTTCTGTTACTAAAAGCACACTATGCACATGTTAAACTTAGTTTTTTATGTTATTATAAGTGATTTATTTTAAAAACATGGAATAGTAGAGTGACCTATGCTGTATTTTTTATGGCAGTTAACACTGTATCTTGGATTTGGTAATTGAGTTTGCAAAAAATATTTTTAAACTTTATTGTTAATTTTGTTTTCTATTTTTGCCCTGTTACGTTTGTGATTTACTTAGAAATTAAAATAGCATAATGGCCTCTATTTTATAAATGACATTTTATGGTATACCTGTTACTTGATTTTTAAAAAAATCTCTGGCATTATCTCCACCATTGAACTTATGTTAAGTTGGTGAACAGTAACCATTTCTATTAGGATACAATCCGTTGCAACTAACAGAAAACCATCTGAATTAAGCTTAAATAGCATAGGGCATTTACTCACTTATATGTGACTGGAAAGACCCCGAAGAGGCTCAGCTGCAAGTGTGGGAGGGCTTCTCATTTCCCCCAGTCCCCGTCTCCGCCATCCTGGCTTTCTTCTGAGTTTAAAAACGGCTCGAGAACGAAATGCTTCATGTGTAGAGGAACATAGACGCTTCCCTCGCCACCATGTAACTACTTCTTTCCCTAGGTTCTGACGGATGTTGGTGGATCCCATTCCCTGGTGAGGGAGATGCTGTTTACTTACTGGCTGGGATCTGAGTCAAGTGCCTGTCACTAGGCCAGTGTGGAGCAGGGCAGTTGATGCAGAGCCAGCCCACAGAACCGCCGGGCTGCTGCCGTGCGGAGGGCCAGCGGGAAGGGGCCGGTCACTGCTTTTATGTTCAGTCAGCTGGTGCCCCAGAGTGCCTGCCGGGAACACACCACCACGCACCTGCTGCCTGTTTCCTCCGAGAGAGGCAGGCCTTTCTAGTAGGGAAAGTTCAAAAGCAGGAATTAGAGGAATAAGTCAGATAATCCAGAGAAGAAGACCTAACGGCAGCGGGAGAACGAGGGGGCAGAGGCAGCGCCGCCAGGAAGAATTCCCGGCCGCAGGGAGGCTGCGGGGTCCCGGCCGCGGGGTTCTGGCCGCAGGGAGGCTGCAGGGTCCCGGCCGCGGGGTCCCAGCCGCAGGGAGGCTGCGGGGTCCCGGCCGCGGGGTCCCGGCCGCAGGGAGGCTGCGGGGTCCCGGCCGCGGGGTTCTGGCCGCAGGGAGGCCTTGGGGCTGGGGCTGGGTGAGCAGCAGCTCAGAGAGACCGACTCCCAGCTGCCTGCGCTGGCTCAGCGCCCTCTGATAGCCCGCGGCTGGGGTCCGGGGGCCGGTGAGAGGTGAGGCCTTGAATTTTTAGTGCTATCTCGCCAGGTCCAAGGACTAAGGCAGAAAACAAGTGGCATTAATCTGAAGCTTTATAGATATTTCACTTTTCTTTGCTTATTTTTAAAATACTCAAAGGTACATGATTAACTAACTAGTTTTCTTATAAATCTCATTTGAAATCAAAACGGGAGAATTTGCTTCATATTCACACCCAAGTATTTCAGTGAATCTTTTTGTTAATGAGTATTTCTTTTCCCCAGGGAATGGATTCGTAAACTCGAGAGCTTCTCCCAATTTGATTGGAGCTGCTGGTGCAAATAGTTTAGGTAAAGTCATGCCGGCCAAGTCTCCCCCTCCTCCAGCCGGTGGTGGTCTTGGAATGAACAGTCGCAAGCCAGACCTTCGAGTCGTCATCCCTCCTTCCAGCAAGGGCATGATGCCTCCACTGGTATGTTCAACCTTCCTCCAGTTTCATTCTTTAAAACACGTGTTTTACACATACTCAGTCTGTGTTTTCTTTTGGAATGTTCCATACTTCCGTGGACTCTAGACTTTTTCCTAATGATTATTTCTTTGTGAAATGAGCATTTGAAGAAACAAGTCTATTTTAAATACACAGAAATTAGATTATGGAGAAACAGGAAATAAATCTGCTTACTGGTTATTTAAAATCAAAGCTAAATATGGAGAGTTACTTTTGTGCTCAGTTTTAACGTCACCAGGCTGGGCCTCTGCTTAGAGATCTCGTCCCAACTGGTGAATGAAACCCGACCTGAGCATGTTTTCTGTACTGTGCGCACTGTAGTAATCTGTCGTACACGCTTTTCAGAGAGGAGACACGTATCATGTGATAGAACATTCTGCAAACCAAAGAGAACTGCTGTAGAATAGGGAGGAGCGAGAAAACTTGAGATTCTCCAAATAAGTTTTCTGTTTATTCCTTCTCAAATAACCTTCCCATTTAAGTCTTTCAAGAACATAGGTCTCCCCAGCCCAGGCCTTGACAATGTCCTTATAGTAACAGCCTCATTTACTTTTGAAAAAAAATTAGAATATATGTGCAAGTTTTTTGTTGTTAATTCTCACCAGAGGGTATTTTTCCATTGATTTTTTTTTTTTTCCAGAGAAAGTAGGAGGGAGGGAAGGAAGGAAGAAGGGAGGGAGGGAGGGAGGGGGAGAGAAACATCAATGTGAGAGAGACGTCAATTGGTTGCCTCCTGCACAGCTCCGAGGGCCGACGCTCTAACCACCGAGCCACACTGGCCAGGGCTGTATGCACGCTTTCCGCAGTTGTGTGTGGCCACTGCCTGAGGAACACGCAGTGTGCCAGCTGGTCTGTGTGCTTCGTGGCTTCTGAACTTCCACCTGAGGTTCATAGGTGAAAGTGATGCCATCAGGCTGTAGATAGTCCTACATTTGGATAATGCGTCAGATTCCCAGACACCTCTGTGCGCAGTCTCATCCCCCGAGAACCGAGCTTGCCGGGCAGCGGTGAGGAGCCGAGGGAGGGGCAGTACGAGGGCCAGGACCGGAGCTCGACGTCATAGACAAAGACGCACTCTGTCAGTCAGAGACACGGACAGCTGGACGCTGGCGCTGCCCGCCTTACAATGAAAAAATGCTGGGCAAACAGAAAGTTCCAGTTCTCCTTGAACACTTACAGTGCTGACATTTCAGGGCCACTGCCTGGCCCGGACTCTGTCTAGGGAGAGGCGGGTCCTGCTGGGACAGGACATTTGAGCACAGGCTTATCTGGGTAGAGAGGCGCAGGTAATGAGCTAAGCTACGGGACTGGGAACGTTGGAGGCCAAGTGTTCACTGGCCAGACTGTGTCCAACCCCTGGAGCCACGATCTGGGGGTGTCTGGGTGCTCTGTAGGCTGCTTCTCCGTGCACCTCACGGCACGCAGGGAAGAGGCCGGAGCGTCCTGGAGCAGTCTCCTCCGAGGTGTGTGCTGGAGGGGGCGGCACAGCGGGGGGCAGGGGTGTGGCCTGACCCTCTCCCTTCCTGCCCTTCGGAACAGGAGCCTCCTGTGAGGCCTGTGGGAAAGGAGACCTGTCTCAGCCACGTCTACACGCATCACTAGTAACGGCAGAGTTTAAGGACAGACTACATGTAGGCATTTAGCAACTCGTCAAGACTCTCATTTTGTAAAGAACATCATGAAGCCTCTCCATGGGATACTCAGAACTGACCATGTGAACTGTTAGCACCTTATCCCTGTAGGTTACGGTGAAAACTACACCCCCTAGTATTTTTTTTTTAATCCTCACCCAAGGACATTTTTGCATTTGTCTTCAGATAGAGCGGGAGGGAGAGAAACATCCATGTGAAAGAGACACATCGACTGCTTGCCACCCACACGACCTCAACTGGGGCCGGGCACAAACGGCAACTAAGGTACCTGCCCTTAGCGGGAACCGAACCCAGTGTCTCTGGTCTGCAGGCGACACTCTAACCGCTCAGCCAAACCGGCCAGGGCCCACCTAGTATTGTGATGTGGACTTTGTAGCCGCGGGTGTGTGCATATTCTGTAACAGTAGAGTTGAAGATCATTTCACCACATTCGGAAAAGCAGTGTTGTCCACGTCAGTTCTCGTCATAGTCAGCAGCCAGCCTCCCTCCTGTTTTATGCCGTTTCTTTGCAGATAAACCTGCTTCATGTATCAGTGATGATGCTAATAGACACCTTTCACAGGCTGACCAAGACACTTGGCTTGTTCAAGTAAAATAAGAAAAAGCTAGTTAGTAGATTACTTCTAGGGCAGTAATGTTTTCTGGGGGCGCAAGAGGAAAGGAGTTGACATACTCGTCATCTCTGTTCTGTGTGTGACTATCACTCACTTCTCCTACGGCCTTATTTTCTTCATGTGTCTGGGTTTTCTCTGTTGAGTTTATTTTATTCCTAGGAACACTATATTTGCAAATAGTATACATACATAAACCTGTGCTATTGAAAGCAGTTATACTTACTAACCAGTCTGAGTCTTGTTCATAGCACTGCTCACGATGGGCAGTAAGGACAAGGGCTTTCTGTCCACTGAGCAGCACAGAGGCCGCAGGAGATGCAGGGCACGCGGACCACACGGGCCAAGGGGCTTACGATGTGGGTTCGGGGGTAGCGTGCTCAAGTCCCAGGTAGACTGGTCCTGCCACTGGACCCTTCAACACTGGTGGTAGCATGTGCGGGTGCAGCCCGCAGAAAAGGAGGTGCAGTGGGGGCTGTCTTTAAACCCTGGCCCTGGAGAATTCAGAAGTCTTTCCAGTCTTTTGAGATCCACAAGTGTGGAGACAATGAGCAGTTTGTTTGTATCCGTGGCGTATATAATGGTCTGTCTAGAGTTTGCAGCAACTGCTAGTGTTCAAATAACATGTTTTCCTAAATACTTCGTTTCCGAGTACCGACAGTCTTAGTAACTCTCGTATCCCTCTCATGTGCCGAGCACAGTCGGAGGAAGAGGAGTTGGAGCTGGTGAGTGTGGATTCTGCTTGAAGGGAGTTGGAAAGATGTAGAGAGCACTAACTTTCTTCTTTGTTTTCTCCTAACCAATGTTCCCTTTGCTACACACATTGTTTTCTTGTTATTGAACACTATCCAAATACTTTGAATAACTAAACCGATCTACTGGTAATACAGTGTCTAGTTTTTCTATTTATAACTGTATGTCATGATCCATTTGATTCGTTGGAGGGAACATTGGAATAAAATGTTTAAAACCAACAGCTGCCCATGATCACAAAACATGTTAAAAGATTTTTTTAAAGGAAAGATGCAAAAATACCTTATATAGTTTCCCAAATTATTAACATATTTTTAGAAAATGACTTCACCTTCAAAGTTCCTCAGATTGTAACACATGGTCTTGTGTTATTTCTTTCTTTCAAAATGATGACATCATTTCTGGTGAGGTCACCTTTTCAGAGTTGGAATCACTCCACCCTGCATGGAGTGATCTGAACCACAAGGGGTAATGGAGCCTCCACAGTTTACTACTTTTTACTAGAAGATATTTCATTCGCAAAAGTAGCTATTAATATCTTTTTCTCCAAAACAAATGATTTCTATTTGCTTCTAGAAAACAAGTTTGACTAAAATAACTTTCAGTTGATCTGTTTCTTCTTTGGGAACTAAAACCCAAACCTCACAGAAGTGATCATGTTCAAAGTGATCAAAGTCAGCTGCTGATTGGAGGCCTTCAGGGGGAATATGCACTTGAAAGAGTGTAGTTCCCAGCACGGGCGGGGCTCAGGCTGCATGAAGCATGGGCAAGGCACCTGCTGGTTTCGTTTACATACATACATGCATGCTGGTGTGTTTTGCACCGTTTGTTTATTTTAAAATAAGATTGTGTTCTGTTCTCAGAATAAGAGTTCACTCTTTATTTAACTTTGTGATCACTCACAGTTTTATATGTGGTTTGGTACTGGTTAACTGGAATATACTAATTAGCTGTCACTGTAGTATTGGATTATATCATGTGCAGATTTAAACTATCTTTTGGGAAAATATTTTACTTAATGATACAGTGATGATTACCAAATGGAAGTTTACAATCCGAGATAAAATAATTCATATTAGATTAGACCTCACTATTTACCCTTCAGAAGTTGTCATGAATGCTTCCTTGTGAATTATCTAGCGACATGTCGCCTCCTAGTGGTTCTGGAAGTCACTCACTCTTGTACAATCCAGTGCCAGACACAATGTTACAATTTAGAAAGTGGTTCCTATTGGTTTGAACTCTAGAATACAATCACGGATGGCTCTGACCAAAGTGAGGAAGGACAGGTGTTCCGGAGCCTACTGGACTCCTGTGAGGGCCAGGCTACAGAGATTCCTTTAGCAGCCTTGCCGTGCTGTGCTACAACGGCTTGACTTCGTGACCGCTCCCGGGGACGAGCTGTGGGTCAGAAGTCGTACAGATGTCGGGCTGAGGGTAGTGGGCAGTGAGTACTGTATATCTGTGCGGTACTCCGGTTGCCTCAGTCCTCCCAGGACCGCTAGGCGGGCGCACCAGACCACTGTCTGCCCCCTTGACAGGCTCGGGGGCAGTGATCAGCCCAGGGCTTCCGGATGGTGGGTCTGGGACAAGCACCCAGGCTGTGTAACCACAGACCAGGTGGTCTTTCTGACGTTCTCTCACTTAAGATTGTACAGACAATACAAACGAGAAAGAAAGAAACTGAGGTCTGCATCCTTATCAAACCATCCACGTTCAAGTTATCTAGATCTGTCCAGAGGCCTTCGTTTGATTACTGGTTACCCTTTGAAAATGGGGAGAAAACCGGACCACTGCCTGGTTCTTTCTCATCTCAGGGCACTGAGTTATACTGGATGGATCTGGCTTAGATCCCCAGTGTCAGTTACGAGGCTTCACTTCTTTAGACACGACCCCGAGCTGCACGAGGGCTTCCTGTGCACGGACCCCCAGGACGTGGAGTTTGCTTGGGCCCTCGGGCCCGGGAAGTGTCCCCAGAAGCAGGGCCGAGGCTCTGCTGTGGCTCCTGCACACGAGGGGGCGGCCGGGAGCCCACTCGGCTGTTAGCGCTGTCTGCTCCCTGCTTTCCCAGGGTGGGTGAGGGCCTGGCGATGGAGCCCCCGCTCGTGCTCCCCCAGCCCTGCCCAGGCTCCTGCCACACAGCTCTGTGCCAGCCTCCCCTTGCAGGAGCTCCCGGAGCACACGCCGGAGCTGCTGTTAACAGGGGTCAGCGGCGGGCAGTGCTGGGGACGGGGGGCTGTGTGTGTGTGCAGTGCTGGGGACGAGGGGGCTGTGTGTGTGTGTGTGTGTGTGTGTGCAGTGCTGGGGACGAGGGGGCTGTGTGTGTTGTGTGTGTGTGTGCAGTGCTGGGGACGAGGGGGCTGTGTGTGTGTGTGTGTGTGTGCAGTGCTGGGACGAGGGGGCTGTGTGTGGGTGTGTGTGTGTGTGTGCAGTGCTGGGGACGAGGGGGCTGTGTGTGTGTGTGTGTGTGTGCAGTGCTGGGGACGAGGGGGCTGTGTGTGTGTGTGTGTGTGTGCAGTGCTGGGGACGAGGGGGCTGTGTGTGTGTGTGTGTGTGTGCAGTGCTGGGGACGAGGGGGCTGTGTGTGTGTGTGTGTGTGTGTGCAGTGCTGGGGACGAGGGGGCTGTGTGTGTGTGTGTGCAGTGCTGGGGACGAGGGGGCTGTGTGTGTGTGTGTGTGCAGTGCTGGGGACGAGGGGGCTGTGTGTGTGTGTGTGTGCAGTGCTGGGGACGAGGGGGGGTGTGTGTGTGTGTGTGTGCAGTGCTGGGGACGAGGGGGCTGTGTGTGTGTGTGTGTGTGTGTGTGCAGTGCTGGGGACGAGGGGGGCTGTGTGTGTGTGTGCAGTGCTGGGGACGAGGGGGCTGTGTGTGTGTGTGTGTGCAGTGCTGGGGACGAGGGGGCTGTGTGTGTGTGTGTGTGTGTGTGCAGTGCTGGGGACGAGGGGGCTGTGTGTGTGTGTGCAGTGCTGGGGACGAGGGGGCTGTGTGTGTGTGTGTGTGTGTGTGTGTGCAGTGCTGGGGACGAGGGGGCTGTGTGTGTGTGTGTGCAGTGCTGGGGACGAGGGGGCTGTGTGTGTGCGGGCGGGGGTAAGGGGCGTCGCTGTATGTGCTCCCCGAGTTCGCTGTGGACCCAGAACCGCCCCGACAGCGTGGCACTGCGCAGCGGCAGGGGCCGGGAGGAAAGCCCGATGCGCGCTGCACTCCGCGAGCCGGGACCCTCCGGAGGTTTTGCTCCCCGCACTGTGCACTTCCACGCGCGCTGTGCTGGCCCGAGGTGTCCAGCCGCCCCGTCCCCGCCGGCAGCCTGGCGTCTGCGCCTCGAGCCCTCTGACGCTGACCCCGGGCCGTCGCTCCTGGTCAGGCTCCTGTGCCAGGGCGTGTCCGACAGCAGTGAACTCCGCGTGGAAAAACTAGGGGAAAGGGAAGGTCAATGTAAAAATGTCCCTCAAAGTTAAATATTTGGTTATTCGCATTAGTATTTATTTTAAGGCCTCGTGTCGTCCCTGCTCGGGGAACGACGTCCGCAGAAGACCGAGCTCAGGCACTGTCCGGAGCAGGGAGGCCGCCAGTGCCCCGCAGTAACGGCTCTCTCTCTCCTCACAGAACCCGCAGCGGATCAGCGGCGCTCAGGCCCCCCAGCCGCTGGCCACGCCGGCCGTGTCGGTGGCGACGCCCAGCCTGCCCCCGCAGGGGCTGCTGTACTCGGCAGTGCCCGCCTACAGCTCCGGTGAGCGCGCTGGGCCAGCCCGGGCCTTCGGGTGGGGTTCCCCTGGGGGTGAGCAGCACGGAGCCTGGCCCGCGGGCAGAAAGGGGCGTCCCGGGAGCGCGCCAGCACGGACTTCTCTGACCCCCCAGAAACAGGCTGGCGCAGGTCAGGGTGCCCCAGGAAGGGGTGCCCATCACCCAGCGCGCCCCCTTCCGGGCGGGGCCGGAGCTGTCCCCTGCTGCGCCCCTGGGCCCCGGGCGAGGGTGTGGGCGGCCCCGGGCGTGGGCGTGGGGGCCGCGGGCTGGGTGCGCTTCCCCCCCCTTCCTCCACGCTCCTGCCCTTAGAGGCTGCGGTTCCAGGGCCTTTGCTTCTCCTCAGCCAGCCCGTCCTCACTCTGAGACGGACTGTCACTCAGTAGGTTTATCTAGACATCTCATCCTAAATACCCCATTTCAGGGGCCGATGGGGAACGCTCAAGGGCGCTCCAGTGTCCAGAGGGTGCTTTCCACCAAGTGGCGGCGGCGGACGCCCGTGGGCTCCTCCCTCACCGCTGACGCAAGACCGGAGGCCTCCCAGGAGGGGGGGGGGGCGGCTAGGCCCGGGGTTTCAGAGAGCAGAGCAGGGCTTTATCCCTCTGCTGCTAGGAGCGGACTTCAGGGTAATCGCCCGCGCTTGGCCGTCAGCCCGCCGTCCGCAGCTCCCTGAGGGTGCAGAGGCGGCGTCTGTCGCTGCCCGGATTCCACGTTCCTTTAAGCAACTGTCAGGGTTTTGTTGGAAACGAAGGTCTAAGGGCAATGTCCACCACGTTCCCACAGTCAGCATGGGGAAGGCCACGCCCATCAACTGCAGATCCGGAGGGAAGCCCGGGGCTCACCATGGCCACCCTGGGTGACACCATGCGGGCCTCCCCTCCCCGCTCAGTGGGGGTAAGGAGCCGGTCCCAGCTAACTTGGTACATATGGAGGGGAAGGCCTGAGGTTACCGGCTGTTCTGAGCCTGGAGAATGCAGGAGAAGAGGGATGTTCGGGAGCACGGGCCTCCAGGTGCGATGACAGCGCAGAGCATCCGAGACAGGTTTGCGGCGGACCGCTCTCCTGTGCTGTGCTTCACAGCCCCGCGACTAGTTTGTCCCTATCAGCTGTACTTGATTCCTTCACCATGTTCACCAGCCCCCCCAAATCCCTCTATTCTGACAATCCTCAAAATGTTCTCTGTATCTGAGATTTTTAAATTCATTTGTTTTGTTTTTAGATTCCACATATAACTGAAATCCTGTGCATTTGTCTTTTCTGTCTGACTTATTTCACTTAGCATAGCATCCTCCAAGTCCATCCATGTTGTCGCAAAGGGCAGGATTCCCTCCTCCTTCACGGCTGAGGCACGTTCCCTGGTCTGTGCACACTTCTGGCCCCTCTCTGTGGACACTCAGGTGCTTCCCTATCGTGGTTCTTGTAACACCGCAGTGAACTCAGGCCTGGATGTATCTTTTCCAGTCGGTGCTCTGGATTTCCTTGGCTGGATCATAAATATGGTAGTTCTATTTTTCATTTTTTTGAGGAAACCACATACTGCTTCCCACAATGGTTGCACCAGGGTCCCCTCTTCCCTACATCCTCGTCAACACTGGTCCATTGCTGATTTAGTGATAATGGCCATGCAGCAAGGGGGTGTAGTAATATCTCATTATCTCATTGTGGTTTCCATTTGCATCATTCTGATGATTAGTGACCTGACCTTGAGCGTGTTCTCATGTCTACTGGCCATGCCCTCTTTGGAGATGTCTATTCAGGTCTTCTGCCCAATTTTTAATTGCTTGTCTTTTTGGTGTTTGCATGAGTTCCTTACACATTTGGATATTAACCCCTTATGGGATGTAGCATTGGTGAATATCTTCTCCCATTCAGTAGGTTCTTTTTGTTATGTTGATGGTTTCCTTAGCTGTGCAAAAACTTTTTAATTTAATGTAGTCCCATTTGGTTTTTTGTTTCTCTTGCCCAAGGGCACATATCTAAAAACATATTACTAAGAGCAGTGTCATATTTTACTGCCTATGTTTTCTTTTAGGAGTTTTATGGTTTTGGGTCTTACATTTAAGTCTTTATTCTTGTAAATGGTGTAAGAAAGTGGTCGTTTCCTTTTCTGAATGTACCTGTCCAGTTTTCCCAACACCATTTATTGAAGAGACTGCTTTTCGGAGGACACCTGGGGCTGCAGCAGCCCTCCATGTCTCTCGGGGGGCCGCGCTCAGGCTCACGCTCGACGTATGGGCATAGCTTCCTAGCACGAGGGCCCTGGGCAGGGAGCCCGCGGGGGACCTCTGCAGCTGAGATCTCTCTCGTGACTTCATTGGCACACCAAGGGCATGGGACATGCCACTCTGCATCTCTGCCCCTTTCACCAGTGAGGTGGCTTCTTCTGGTCTTCAGGTGGTTCAGTGATGCCTGTTCCATCATTTAGCTGTGATTTGGATGGGGTTGTGGGAGGAGTGAGCAGTGGTTTCTACCCTGCCATGTTGACCGCACATCTCCCACTATACTTGTTTTTAGAAACAACAGTAGATTAGAAAGGACTTGTTTTCTACAAGTTCAGAAGGAATGACCAGAACATAAAAACAGAGTCAGACTCTCGAAACCGTCCATCACTAGCTCAGGCTCATCCTTCTAACAGACTCAGGCCCGGCTTTCTTTCTCAGCACTGAACCTGTTTAATTCACCACCTTATCTTTAACACGTTTCTCTCTCTGCCTTTTTAAAACGTGTTTGTGTGTGTAATCTAGTGTGTGATTTCTTTAGTATATAATCTACCTTCCTGTATAGATTTAGATCAGAAACATGCCACAGTCAGTAAAGGGATGAAGAGTGAGGTACCTCATCGTGCCTGTCAGCGAGGTCACTGCAGGTCTCAAACGTGTGCTTGGGTGCACTCACGACCGTTCAGTGTGGGACATTCACTCGGGCAGGAGCCGCGGGAAGCGGAGCGCGTGGTTGACGGGACTCCGCAGCCACCATTGCGGCCGTGCTAGAGCTCTTCACGCTGCTGGCCGGGTCCCCTGCACTTCGGGTCAGAGGAGGCGCTCCAAGGACGGGAGCCCTGTGGACGATGGCTGCGGGGCCAGGAGCTTCGAGCTGAGACTGGAGCGATGAGGGATTTTCTGGGCCGTGTTGAAGACTTTGGACATCATCTTGAGAGTTGGGAAGCCTTAAGAAGGCTTTAAGCAGTGAGGTGTCGGCCTTTGTGGTGTTGAAAGATCACTGGCTGCAGTGTGTGCAGGGGCAGAAGTGGGTGGGCCCCGGGGAGGCTTGAGAGACAGGAGCGAGAGCTGACCGGGCTTGGGGAGCGGAGAGGACCACAGGTTTGGGGCCCCGGCAGTGCGGTGAATGCTACTAAGGTGGGGAGCAGGTTTGAAGGAATGAGGTGTTTGGAGACAGCTGGTGAACCGTGAGGGGTCACTGTGGAAGGCATCAGTGTGATGGACCCCTCCCCAACCTCAGCTTCTGTGGGGAGGGAGGAGGTAATCTCAGAACAGAGGAGAAAGGGGGGATGGAGCCCTAAGAACCAGCACTGCTGCTTCAACTCAGCTGCTCCTCGTTTCGATCAGTCTACATTGTACGGGAGTGTACCAGGCTCAGGTGCGCAGCATTGCGGTTCAGCAATCTGTGCCTTACACAGTGCTTAACAAAGTACCCCCTGGCACTGCACATAATCGTTACAGCATTGTAGACTGTATTCCCTGTGCTGGACTGTGCATCCCTGTGACTGTTTTGTGGCTGTCAATTTTTTCCTCTTAATCCTCTAACCTTTCTCACCCAGCCCCCCAGACCCCCTCCTTTCTGGCAACCATCATCAGTCTGTTCTCTGTATCTTTGAGTCTGTCGATTTTATTTTGCTCTTTAAATTCCACATGTAGGTGAAATCATATGATATTTTTCTCTGACTTATTGCACTTAGCATAATACCCTCTAGGTCCATCCACGCTGTCACAAATGGTAAGATTTCATCCTTTTATGGCTAATATTCCATCGCACATATGTACCACAGACTTTATTCACCTGGGTTGCTTCTGGATCTTGGCTATTGTCAATAATGCCTCAATGAACATAGGGGTGCAGATATTCTTTCGAATTAGTGTTTTCGATTTCTTTGGAAATACGCCTAGAAGTGGACTTGCTGGGTCATAAGGCAGTTTCAGTTTTAATTTTTTGAGAAACCTCCATGTAGTTTCGCATAGTGATTGCACCAGGCTGCACCCCCACCCACAGTGCAGGAGGGCTCCCTTTCTCCCCGCCCTCGCCAGCACCTCGCGTGATCGCGCGTCGTGGCTTTAACTTGTGTTCTCCTGATGATTGGTGATCTTGAGCATCTTTTCTTACTCCTGGCCATCTGTCCTCTGCCTATTTGTTAAGTTGGATTGCTTCCCTGGCCCGGGGAGATATATAAAAGTGCTGCTAAGAGAAATGGCAGAGATTCTACTGCCTGTTTTCTTCAAGGAGTTTTATGGTTTTAAGTCTTAAATCCAAAGAAAGTGGTCCAGTTTTCCCAGCACCATTTATTGAATAGACCGTCTTTACTCCATTTATACTCTTGCCTCCTTTGTCAGATACTAATGGACCACAGAAGCATGGGTTGGTTTATTTGGGGCTCTTTGTTCCATTGATTTGTTTTTATGCCAGTACCATCCGTGTTCATAGTCTAGTTTGATAGCGGGTAGTGTGATACCTTCAGCTTTGTTCTTCTTTCTCAAGATTCCTGGGCTATTGAGGATCTTTTGGTTCCACATAAATGTTTGGCTTATATGCTGTAGTTCTGTGAAAAACACCATTTAGTTGCTTTAAAAAACTGTTAATTCACTGGGAAGACCAACTTCTTTAAACACCTCCCTTGAGAGAAAAAAGTTAAAAGTCGAGTTTTTTGCACCTCTTAGAACTAAATGGGAAAGACAAGTGTTAATGAGGAACTGAAATAATTGCGAAGAACAAATGTCCCAAGTCTCGGTCAAAGTGATTTTGACTGAAGCATTCATATACAATGACCTGTATCACACTCTTGTAACAGTTGTTCACCAACTTGAACGTGTGTTGCTGGCAGTACCTTGAAGCCACAGAACTAGCTGGACAAGAATGTCCCCTATGCTCAGGGACAGCGGCTTGCTGAGCGAAGGGTTCCGTTTGTTTATGAGGGTGGCGGGGGTGTATTTATTTAAAATAAGTTGCTTAGGGACAGCCTTTATAAAGTGGTGGCCTTTTAATTATTTACCAGTCTGGGAAAAGTATCTCAACTTTTTGTGAAATTATGAACAAACCTTTGGTACAAAATTGAAACTTACTGAAATAATCCCAGACCATTAAATACCGCTAGGCCCATAAACCTCGCAGAAGACATTTTGTGGGTTTTAGACACAGGTGTGTGGTTTCATGTTGTGAAACTCCAGGCTTCCCTCTCCCTGGAACTTCCTGAAGCTGTGTCGGAAGACGGGCTTTGCTAGAGGCTGTCTCTCTCCTTGTGTCTAGACTACTCGCTGAGCAGCGCGGACCTGTCGGCCCTGCAGGGCTTCAGCCCCCCGGGCGTGCTGTCCCTGGGGCAGGTGTCGGCCTGGCAGCAGCACCACTTAGGACAAGCAGCCCTCAGCTCCTTGGTGTGAGTAACTGCAACCCCCGGATCGGCTCCCGCCCCTGCACTCATTTCCTGTCCCTGAGACTTTCACACGAACCTCCCACAGCGACTAGAATGTTCCCCGGTGTCCTGAGCAGAGGCGAGGTCGGGGATACTGTCCCCCGCCTGTCCCGGGGCCTGCTGTCCTCCTGCTTCTACGAAGTGTTCAGGTGGCCCGAGGAATTGGAGAGAACTCTTGTTTACGTGGCTCTAGAGATCAGCTTGGATGCTGAGGAACGAGGCCCTCCTTGCCGAGATTCCGGCACAGGTGTCACCCCCATGCACCCCCCTTTTCCGATGATGCAGCCGCCTGCTCCCCTCCCCAAACCCTGTGTCTGAGTCCCGTTTGAGGAGGCAGCCTGCAGGCGTCCAGGCCCACTGGCCTCACTCTGCCCGGAGGGGCGGAAGACGAGCCACGCCCTTGGCTGGCTGCCCGCTCGCAGGGGAGGCGGGTGGGCTGTGCAGACCCGGCCGCTGCGCCTCACCCAGGGAACGCACGGGGTGGACAACAGTAGGTTTGCAGTTGTGAGTACACGGAACAGTTCATCCTTGTATTTTCCATACAAACAACTGTAAACGTACTTTCGACCCACCCTGTAAATGGAAAGGGTTTTACAGCGCTGCCCAGGTGGGAGCAGGCAGCACTAGCAGGAGGGAGAAGGGGCAGCTGCTTTGCAGAAGCAGGAGCAGGGCAGCCCCGGGAGTGCATCCGGACACCCAGCCTCCTGCCTCAGAGCCCCCGGCTCAGCCAGCCCTCCCCTGCATCCTGTGGTGAGGATCTCCTGGGGAACTGTGTCCTGGACAGAGGCTCGGGCCTGGGCTAAGCCTCCTGGCGAACACCCCGGACAGGGCCCTGCAGGAAGGTGGGAGTGGCTTGTGCTCGGTGGGGACAGCCTGTCATACCCTCCTGTGCTGGGGCTGACTTCTCAGAGCTGCCGCGAGCAAAGGGGTGCCTGTCGCCGGGCAGAGCCGGGCAGGGCGGAAGCAGAGCGAGTTGCCATGTTGCTCCTCTGGCATCCGAGCCATTAGACACTGACCCTGTGTTGGCTGCTCCAGCTACGAAGGTGCCAGGGTATCGGCACAACCAGCCACTAAAGGTCTCCACCAGACTGTTCGTTTTGGCCCTGCCAGGGAGATGGGATTCGTGGGGGCGGGGAGGCCAAGCACCGGCAGAAATGGTCAAAACCCGCCTTGGGGAAGTCTGACAGCATCTCAGACTGGGCGCTTTGCAGTCAGGCTCACCCACAAACCAGCCAACATCTTTCTTGTTTTTCCTTTAGTTCTGGAGGGCAGTTATCTCAGGGTTCGAATTTATCCATTAACACCAACCAAAACATCAACATTAAGTCAGAACCAATTTCACCTCCCCGGGATCGAATGACCCCGTCCGGCTTCCAGCAGCAGCAGCAGCAGCAGCATCAGCAGCATCCCCCGCCGCCAACCTCGCAACCCCCCCAGCCCCGGCAGGAAATGGGGCGCTCCCCTGTGGACAGCTTGAGCAGCTCGAGCAGCTCCTACGACGGCAGCGACCGGGAGGATCCACGGGGGGACTTCCACTCCCCGGTGGTGCTGGGCCGACCCCCGAACACTGAGGACAGGGAGAGCCCGTCTGTGAAGCGGATGCGCATGGACGCCTGGGTGACCTAAGGCTGCTGGTTGGCCCTGCTGCAGTGAACTGCCCTGCGTGTCTAGATGGGTCGGTAAGGACATGAGGTAAAGATATTTATATGTACACACATACATACATACATGTCCCTTCACATATGTATGTATGTGGGTGTGAGTGTGCGAGTGTGCGTGTTGCATACACAGAATCAGGCACTTACCTGCAAACTCCCTGTCAATCTGCAGGTGTGTGTCCCGTGGCAAACCAAGCACCCTGTAGGCAGAGTCTAGTCTGACACTTCCTTGGACTACTTGTTTCCTAAGATACCCAGTTTTTGCAGAGAAGCGTGTACCCATAGATAATTCTCCCACACTAGTGTGCAGAAACTGAGGCCTACTTGTTTCATTTAACTGTGCGGTGACTGTCGTACTTGAGAAAAGTGCTTTGTAGAACAGAGCAGTAGAAAGCAGGAACCAGAAAGCAATACTGTACATAACACATCATTTATATTAACCACCCAACCTGGCATGGGTCTCTTTTGCAAAGGGGTGCATGGTAAAGGGCTGTTGATGATTTAAAAAAAAAAAAAAAAAGCCCCACACGTAACTGTTTTGCACGTGCAAAAATGTATTGGGTCAAAGAAGTGATCTTTAGCTAATAAGAGAGAGAATAGAAAACGCATGAGATCTTCAGAAAATACTAGCCTAGAAATATAGAGCATTAACAAAATTAATATATTAAGTTATAATTGGAATATGTCAGAAGTTTCTTTTTACATTCATATCTTAAAATTAAAGAAACTGATTTTAGCTCATGTATATTTTATATGAAAGAAAACACCCTTATGAATTGATGACTATATATAAAATTATATTCACTACTTTTGAAAACATTCTGCTATGAATTATTTATATAAGCCAAAGCTGTATGTTTTTTTTTTTTTTTCTTTTTTAGAGAATAGCTTTATCTTGTTTTAACTTTTCAGTTTTATTCTAAGAGGGAAAAAAAATATCTTGCAAGCAGAACCTTGGAAAAAAAAAGCCATGAACACTTATTATTCTATATATAAATTAAAAGTTGAGCCAAACTCTTTCTGTACATAGCATCTTAAATATATTATCACCTTCGATGTAAGTACCTATGTATTGTATGGTCACCAGATTAAAAAGTATATTTTTGTGGATTTGCCGCCAATTTGGGGGGAAAAGGCGAGATCCTTATTAAGTAGAGTATTCACTGTTTAATATTTACTATTTTGTTAAATATACTGTACTTTGGATTTTAATGATTAGCCCAGTCTTTCCAGAGGATTGTGTAAGGGGCCCCTCCCCTCACTGGTGGTGAATGTGACGTTGCATTGTACTCTTTGTGCTGTAAGGGGTTGAGCACCATTATAGATTTTATACGTGTACATAAATAGCAAAGTGGCAAAAAAATCGGTGTTAAGTTCATCCTGCATAAATATAAAATGTGCTGTAACAGATTTTATAAGGCATTATTTAAAACTTGCCTTTTGTGAGGAAAAAATATAGTAGAAAAAGCTGACCTAATTTAATCAGTGTAGAGAACTGGCTAAGTAGATGAGCACAAAGGATTTATAAGTGGTAAACGATTAGGGAACACTCGTTGGCGCAGGGCTCGTTCCTCCTCGGCCCTCGGGAGGCATGCTGGCCGGTTACAGATGTTACAGATGCGGCCCTGCCGTGGGCACAGGCGCCTGCCCCAGCCTAGGCTCTGACCAAGGCCCCTCTCACGAGACGACACTGAGTGGGGAGGCAGGTCCGTCCGCTGTCTGGGCTTGTGCCATGAACAGAATTCAAAGTCCTGTATATCTATCTGTACCATAGAGTTTTAACTACTACTTTTCCTGAGAAACTCAAAATAAGGGTTCAAAAATGCTGCTATTTTATATTTTAAACTTAATATTGAGCAGCTACCTACAATTTGTACTTACATTTTGCTTTTCCCCCTAAATTGCATTCCTTGTGACGTTTTCCTTACATGCTACTTGTGACAAATCACCGGTCAGGTTTCTGACTGACACGCAGGTGTAAACCTGTGCATTCACAGCTGCAAAACGCGACTGTCTTAATGACAGTTTGGGTAGTCAACTTTGATAGAGGCCAAAAAAGGGAGCGCGGCATGCTCCCTGCTCTCATCAGTCTAGACATACGGCTCATTCGGAAAGGACTCGTTTTTCTTTAAAACGTTCTTATTTTCCTGAACGACGCACTCACAGGCACATTCATAAGGTCACCCTTAACTGAAACAAGACAGCCTTCCCAACACTGAATTTCCGAGATAATCCTTACCACTTGTAAGCCACTCATAGCTTTGAAAGTGTCCGTGATCCTCGTCGTCATTGATGCATGTCCATGAACTTCTGCTGTGCATTGGAACAGGAGCTAGCAGTCGCATTTACTGTCTATTTTCTTGTGTGCCTTATGAGATGGCTTTTCTGACTTATCTCAGTAGTCTTTCTTTCTATGCAGGTTTATAATCAGTACAGCTACTGTTTTTCTAAAATACTACACAAGGCTCGGAGTTTGTATTTCAGTCACAATGACCAAGTAACAATGTATCTGTTTTCAGGAACTGATTAGACTGTTAACCCTTTTCCCATAAGCGCGGTGACTCGGAGCATATGGACGTGACAGGGACACTCCTCACCATGACACCTGTACGAACACACACATCTAGTGGAGACCAGGCGGGGCAAGGCACTGATGTGGTTACTTAGAACCTACATTTCTTACCCTTTTAGACTCATGTGTTTTGTATGACACCATCACAAGAGAAATTTATCCATTCAGATGAAGTATTTTATTACTAAAAGACAAAAACAAAAAAAGCTTAGAGTGAATTGCACTGGTTCAAGTACAGCTTCCAACTGCTGTACTTCCTTCAGGACCCTAATTACATGGAGAGTGAAGGTCACCATTGTCTGTCTACAGATGGTCCCAACCAAAACTCCATCTTTTGAGCCCTAGTGATGTCCATTGTGTTAGAGACTAAATCAGGGGTTTGTTCAAAAGAACAATCTGTTTTACCATGTCCTTTAACTAGAAGGACAACTACTAAAGCATTTACACATTTCTGTAGTAACCATCATGCGCACAAGAAATACATAGTAAATAAGGAACCAGAAACTCCTGCTGTTGGATCATAAGAAGCTAGATGATTATTAGAATGTGAAAAAAGATTTTACAAATGTAAAACTTTTATTTCTCTGTAGAAACTTTCTTCACTTTGCTGTGCAAGAAGACACTGCTTTGCTATATTTAAAATGGCTTTTTTAAAAGAGATTTATGTATTTGGTAAATGTTTGTAGTCAACAGTTCACACAAGAAGCTGTACACGGTTTGATCATGTAAAACCGTTTGGCGGCACAAGCTGGACTTTGTTGCCATCCTCGAGATGAAAAATAAGTTAATCTCAGTTTTTCCCTGATGTGTTTTTTCTTCATTATACAATAAATATTATAGTGAACTTTTTATCAAATGGTTAAGAAAATGCTAGAGGTTGTTGTAAACTGTTTGTATCCTGCACTCACTACAGTAAAGACGGACTGGCTCTTTCCTGTGTACTCCAGCCTCTGTCATGTCTGCACCGAGCCCCCCACAGCTGCCCGCTGCCGCGCCCAGCAGCCTCAGCCAACGACCCTTTCCGGCCGCCAGGGTCTCTGCCTTCTGCACACCATGCCACTGACCTGGGGGCAGGGGTGGTGGCTATCAGGAGATTCTACTTATTTTACCCAAAATGCATACATAATGCTGAGCTAGTGACAGCAGAATACAGATTTACTAAGTGAAGTTTTTTTTTAATTTTTTAATCCTTACCCGAGGATATTTTTACACTTATCTTCAGACAGGGTGGGAGAGAGAGAGAAACATCATTGTGAGAGAGACACATCGACTGGTTGCCACCTGCACGACCCCAACCAGGGCTGGGGACAAACCACAACTGAGGTACGTGCCCTCGGCCAGAATCGAACCTGGGACTCCCTGGTTCACAGGCCGACGCTCTGACTGCTGGGCCAAACCCCCAGGGCATGAATTTTGTTTTTAAAAGCAGTAGGTACCTTCTAAGCTTAGCTAAGCAGATTTTTGCTGTCAATTAAAAGCTAAGTTTTTATGCTGTTTTTATTGGCTGGCTACAGTGAGGCTCGTGGTGGGTTTTGAAGGCTCGTTGAGTTCTGTGGCGAAAGTACTCGAACCAACCTGCAGCTGTTTCAAATCCATTGATTGTGATTTCCTAGTCAGCTCCCCGAGTGCCTTCCTGTAGCCTTGATCCTGTTTTTAAGCTGACTCAGAAAGGATTTCTCAGTTGGAACCCTCTGCCAGGTGGCTGGCTCCAGCCTGTGCCGTCTGCCTGTCACGGAAGAGCACCACTGAGCGTGGAACTGAGGGGAAAGCCGTGTTTCTTCCCGTCTCCCACGAGAGTTAGGAGCCCCACAAGGCACGGAAACACTGGGGAGAGGGCTCCTGAGGGCCGGTGGCCCGGTGCCCCCAGGCCGCACGGAGTAGGAGCCCTGGGAACCGAGGACAGCTCTCTCCAGAGGCTCACAGGGCGTGTCCTAGACCCCAGTCACCTCCTTGCACTTCGTCTGCCTGCTGGCTCTCCTCGAGCAGACGGAAGTCCCTGAGGAAGAAAAGTCAGTCGTACTAACTGGCTTTCACTGCATAACCCCGTCCTGTCCCGTTTTACCTTTCTTAAAACTATTTTAAACTAATTTTTTAACTTAAAGTTGGAATAAGAATGGTTTCCATGTATCCGTCACTCAGCTTCCCCTAATGTTAGCATTTACGTAACCACTGTCAGAAGCAAGAAATGAACCTTGAGACAGTCCTGTTACCTAAACACCTGATTTGAATGTCACCATTTTCCCGCTACTGTTGGTGCCTGTTCCAGGGCCCTACGGGGCATTTAGTAGTTGTTTCTCTGTACCGGTCCCTCAGTCTTGTCTGGAAGACTACTGGTCGGTTCCTTTGAGCAGCACGCCCGTGTGGATGTGTCTGATGTACCTTGACGGGAGCGTCTGTCTGGAAGGAATGGTGTCCACGTCTTATGACAGCTGACAGTCCCCACTGTTTTCCCTGCCAGCGCTGGGTCTACGCTTCCCCAAAGAAATCAAGAAATACTTGGAAACAAATGAAAATGGAAACAATGTATAAAACCTATGGGCTGCTACAGAAGTAGTTCTTAAAGGAGGAGTTTATAGTAATAAACACATATGTAAAAAAATAGGCAAGAGCCTAGCTGGTGTGGCTCAGTGGACTGAGCGTGTCCCACGGACTGAGAGGTCCCAGTTCGAATCCCGGTCAGGGCACCTGCCCGGGTTGTGGGCTCGATCCTCTGTGGGGAAGTGGGCAGCCAATCGGTGTTTCTATCTCTTCCTTCCTCCCTTTCTTAAAAAAAAAAAAAAAGAAAAGAACAGCAAAGATCTCAAGCTCAATTCACAACTAAAGGAAAACTAAAACAGAACAAAATAAGCCTAGGCTTAGCAGAAGGAAGTAAAACAGTACACACCGAGGGGAAATAAATGAAATAGAGATCAGAAAGACAGAACAGATTAGTGAGGCTAAGGGCTGGG